GTGGCAAATTCTAACCAGAATTGTCTTGTACCTCTTAGTAAATCAGAAATTACGGTAAGATAATGAACACACATAACAACATATGAAGTTTCAACTGAAATCTAAGGGTAGTTCAGGGACTGAACTGACCACATGTGGATGGGTGGTTTCCAAGGAGAGATTGCTGCAATTTAAAAAAAAAAAAAAAAAAAAAAAAATCACCTCAAATGCTTTCTTCTACCAGCATGTTTTTCATGCTGATTTCAGCCAGTCATTTCTTGTGAGCTGATCTAATCAGAGGATGATGGATGGATCAAACTTTGTTAAGTGCTGACAACGTCTAGCAAAGGAAAAGGGTTCAGCTTGCACCCAGTGAAACAGCTGGTCTGCAGTCCACTTTCAGTACTCCTTTTCCTTGAGGAGCACTTGGAAGCTGTAAGAGTAAATAGGCTGTTCTCCGTGTTCTTCAGGGATCCTTCAACTTCTTCCCTGGAGAAGGGTGAAACACTGACTGTTTTATTTATCTGCGTAATCTTAAAGATCAGAGCAAGGCAAAACATTATGCCAACTCTATTGACATTACAGAGCAAGAACCTTTGTCCACTGCATTTAGCATCGGTAGAACACACATTCTTAAGTCAAAGCCCTTTCAATACAAGCTAGGAGGTGAGGAGCTCTGTCTAGCAAAAGACTACCTGTGACAGATACTACCTGTCACACTGAAGAGAAAGTATAGCAGATTAGAAATACCACCAGTAACGCATAACCTTAAGTAGGAATATGCTAAAGGTTTACAGCTGCTTTCCTAAGGCGGTTGTCTACAACAACAGTGCCAAGGTTTTTGGCTGATGCAGATGATACAGGCTGGTGAGTTTGAGAGTGGGGATGGAGGCAGAAGAAAGTCTGTTTTCTTAAGGAAGATGCTGATAGCATCAATCCAGTTTCAAGCAAAATTCCTGCAGGAGGTATGTTTTTCCCAGAGTTAGTTTGATACTTCTCATTGGGGTGTCTCTCATTTAATAAACAAAACAACATGAATAGAAAGGTATGCACAGAAAATTGTTTTGTTATTGAAGCCTTCTGGTGTATTTTTAAGAATTGCAGCATATTAGCCACTTGACTCAAGACTTGTGAAAGACCAAGCCGAAAGATTCTTTTATCCTCAGACACGCAGAAAAAGCTCTCCCAATCAGCCAAGCCCTCAACACAAAGTGAACCATTTACAGGTGTGGCCTTTCACAGTTCTCTGTCTTGATCCCTTTCTGGCAATATACAAGCAGTTTACAGGTGCATGCAAGCTGTCAATTGCACCGCTGCATAATCCTTCCTGAGGCCAGGATAAAAGATCCCACATGATCTAGCTTGGCATAGAGATCCAATAGCTCAAGACACAGTTTTTCAAGCAGGTATATCCTTCAGTTCTATTGAATTTCCAAAGAAATTCAATACTCCTAAAGTTACTTCACATTCTCAGAATCTGAAGATTAGCGAGGACATTAGAGAAGATACAGCTCTGGAACAAAAAGGAGAAATTCAGTACTCAAGACTAGATCTTTCTTATCCATTCTCCTGATGATAAAATTGTAAGAGGAAAGATAATTTCCCAGAAGATTAAATGGGTCCATAGTCTGCATTACTGACCAGAAGGGCTACTTCACTGACAAAGAATTGTATAGACAGATAATACCGTGTCCTTGCAAGATCATAAAGAGCCTCCACTTCCAACAACTCCTTCAAAATCACCTACGACTGGGAAGAACTTCGGGAACTCATCTTAGTTCAAAGGTCTCAGTTTATGCTTTTCATGCAGCCTTGGCAATGAAAACCAGCTCAGGTCCTTTGCATGGTTCTAGCTCAATGCCATACATGAAAGGTATGGAAGAAAAAGTAGAGATTGGGTAACAGTGGTAATTCTTTTGAGCCTTTCTGATTCTCAGAGTCCTCAAGGATGGGACAACTTCACTGGAAGTGCACTTCATTGGCAATCTCTGGATGATTCAAGGTATAATACCGAATCTACTGGAACATAGTGAAGCAGACCTCATGAGAAATTTGAAGGTGATCCATCCATCAAGTCCTTTCAGTTCAAAGTCAAAACCTTCAATTCCATCAAGTCCTTTCAGTTCAAAGTCAAAGAAATTCTCCCCCTTATTTGGGTACTCAGAGCAAGTGAGGCTATACTTTGTTTGATTAGAATCCACAGCCTTTTGAAAGGAGTTATATAGACATGCAGCATGTGTTCAAGCCAAGATGATGTTGACAACAAATAGCAAGTTGTACACATCCTGGTCATAAAGAGATTCTTGAAGCATATTAGATGCCCACCACAAACTGAATAGGGTTTAACACTGACCATGGGCGACAGTTTCATGAAAATTCTAGCTCCAAAACATTTGATCTAATTAACAGAAAAAATAAATTAGCTCAAAAGCAAACACTGTCATAATGCCAGACATTTTTCCCCTCTCAAAACTAATATACTTGCCAAGTAAAATTTTCAGCAAATGTTTTTTATGTGGTGGGTAAAATTTTAGAAATATTACAAAATAAAAATGCTTTTTCAGAGTTATGACAGCTGCATGTGAAATAAGCTCTCAGTATTATAAAGTTATCACAATTTTTTGTTCTGGACATAAAAAAACCACCTACCAATCTTTGCTACAACACACATATTTTTACTCAAAGTTATTTTCCACAGAAAAACTGTTATGTTGGCAGATTGACTGCTAAAGCAAATCATATCTATTCCAATCAAGTTACACAGGACTTGAGAAAAAGACTCGTGAACTAAATATGAGCCATTTTATGCAACATCTTTGTTTGAACTGGGTCCCAACTACGCAAGATAACCTTTACTTGCTTTTTTACTCAGAGATGAAGGTGTGTAAGTATATTTCAATGAAATGAGAACAAAATCTCAAATGCTCAAAACTTCATAATGTCGAGTAAGACTTGGGTTTTTCCTTTGTCTATAAGAGAATATCTGGGAATATGGCTATGCCAGTACTCCATCTTTATCTTTGACAACTCTCCTATAAATTGTGAGCTGCAAATATGACACATGACCTTTCACAACTATATCCATAGAAGTCTCCATTCCTGAGAAGTTTAAAAGAAAAGATTGACAGCTAAAAGAAGAAAACATATTTTTTCAAAGTGAATTCTACAATAAATGTAGCAAGAAACTAAAACCGTTGTTCTCTGAAGACATAATTAACTTGATACACACACTTCAATGGCAGCTGTCAGGCTCAAATTGACAAGTTAGCAGATTTACTCAATCTGGTTATGTATGGTTTCTTGATTTTGGTTGCAATTGAGACAGTTACGGTGCACCTGACAGTATTTAAAAGCAGCCATGCCATTATCCTAGTAGAAAGTGGAGCTCTGATAACTTAGGGCTTAGCATTCTGGTATCAACTAGGTATTTGAGTTTTGCTAGAGGTATTTCTTATAGACATTCCACTGTTCTTGTACAGCAACAACTCTTACGTATATGAAAAATCTTTCTAGAAATGAGTGGGTATATGTATAACATTTTGGGTGCGATGTTCTGGAAAGTAAGAGATAAGCGATGCATTTTGACTTTTCACATAAACTATTAATAAATGCAAGAAGGAAAACATTTTACTGCATTAAATATGTTCACCAAGCTGCTGTAACTGGGTATTTCTACAGTTTAATATTCTATAGCAACTGCTGTAAACAACTGTTTTATTTGCTTATTGAAAGAAGTAGTCTTCAATCTGAGGCTGCTGTTACTAAAGCCTGATTTTGGAGAAGAGGCCTGAAATGGCTTGATAATAAAAACTTATTTAGTCTGACTTGAGAAATACTATGGAAATCAACATCTGACCTCCACAGTTTCTAAAAATAGTCATCTTTTTTCAACTGAGGAAGTTTCCTCCATTTAACATCTTGCTTACCTGATGGAAACCACACTTTAATATTTCATATCTTCGCTGCACATAACCAAAGAATGGATGAAGAGTGGAAAGTCAATCCTGTGCTTTCAGCCTTGTAGTTGCAGCATTTTTTATTCATAAATTCAATTGCCTGACTTTATCTTCAAATAACTTTTTCCCAGTTGCCACACTAAGTAGCCAGTGGGCAAATACTGAAAGGTCAACAGTTGCTTCTCTAATTCCTTGCTATGAACACATACCAAGGAGAGTTATGTGTATGTCCAAAATTGACCTTCAGTTACCAAGACATCTCAAGGAATGGAAGGAACGCAAAGGAAGTGGGTGAACTGTCATTTATTTTGTCTTTCTGCGGCGTGATAAATTTCAATGGCTGCCTGCCGTCTATCAGAGTACTAAATTTTGTTTAGGGGAGACAAAATATTATTTAAATGAAAAAGTGCTATCATATCTTTTTACTGAAGACCAAAAAATACTGTGAATTTGACGTTTAGCAAGATCTCTAATTTGTTTTTGAGAGAAATTCTGATCATCTTCCAAAATTAAGACAGAACCTAGCTATCAGCTTCCAAGATTTATTGCCTTCTTTGTATAACTGCTAGAAAATAATTAGCAAGATACACATGGCAATACAACAATACAGTCTGTATTTTCCTCATTTTGATTGGCACTACAACCAGTATCAAACATCCAGGTCTTGTGAATAAAGTTGAGTACAACAGCTGAGTTGTCTTTAGTGTAGTAGTTTAAGCACAGTGAGTTTCATACAAAGTAAGAAATTTGGCGAACATAAGATCTCTTTAGAGTGCTGTAATTACACCTGTAGAGAAACACAAAAGCAAGAGCAGCATGCCACTACTGAAAACCACTAAAATAAAAAACGCAAATATTACTGAAGTGGAAAGGGCATGGCAGCAAAAAGTTAAATGCCTGATAAGAATTTACAAGACTTGACAATTACGAGGCAACTAAGAAAATTATGATCTTTGTTCTTCCACAACCACTTTTTCAAAAGAGTCAGAATAAAAAATTGCTTTTAAGTAACTGTGAAACTAAAACCTCAATACTGTTTTTCAACAGACATGATACTGCACTTACCAACTGGACTGGTACCAGCTCCATTTGGCACTGTGAGGTCAGTTGTCCCCAGCATACCACCTAATAAAAATAAACCAGAGCATTAAACTAACTTGCTCTCACTACAGTATCGTATCATTTTGTACTTCAAAACTTAAGCTGTTAAAAAAAAGAAAACACACTGATACATTAAGAACTTGTTGCTTTTTTTGTTGTTTGTGGGTTTTTTTTAAATAAAAAAAATAAGAAGAGGGTATAAAAGGAAAGCACAACAGTACTGAAATCTTACCTGCATTGCCAGTACTTGGTGGTCTCTGAGGGGCCCCAGGTGATACGTTCCGATGCAGGGTGGTCTGAGGTGGGGAGAGCATGGTCGTGTCTGTTAACGATGAACTGGCAGCCAGTGATGGGGATACAAGGGAACTCCCTGGGTTACTGTAGGTTAACGTGTTGGGATTGGACACTGGAACTGTAACCGACATCGAGAAGTTCTGAGCAGGCAAGCCAGGCTGGAGGAAAGATGACAAGGAATACACACAAGACAACAACATTAGCATTAACTATGTTTGCAGAAATAGTACATCATAAAAATACACATTAAAGTTTGCTAAGAATTACCCAGGTTTAAAAAAAAAGTTAATTATGTTAGTTTTTAAACTCTATTAAGCATACAATTTTAAAACATCCATTTGTTGTAGAGTATGGTGTTAAACTCTTACACATCATATAAACACAGTTCCAAAAGAATTACTCATAAACTTCTAAAATACTGAAAGTTCAAATACAAAAAATTGAAGATATTCATATGAATTCACAAGCTCAAAAATACAGCAAAGTTATAACAGTTAATTTAGATTATTACAAAGCAACGACAAGCTAAACATGTCTACAAATCAATGAACTGTTGCACCTTCAAAATGTAAGCATAAACATGCACATTACAACATAGTCAGTTATTACACAAAAAAGAAAAAGTTAGTAATAACATTTTCTATTAATAACCTTGCCAAAATATTGCTACTAATCTCTAAAGCTTTCTTTTTCAAACTAAAACAAGTAAACAGATCTTCAGAAATTCACTAAGTTCAGTAATTTGAATTTAAACATTTCACTTGTCATTATTCTGAGCTGTGTTCCACAAAACGCTGCTTGAATAACCACTCCATCTTGCTTTTTTGCAAACCTCATTTTTTTAAATTCTAATTTTTACAGCATTATTTAAAAGGCAACTATTTTTCTGAAGTATATATGTTTGTTATTCAACAACTATTTGAATCAAAAGCTTAGATGCCTGCCCATCTATGGTACTCATTTGGTTATGACTAACTTCTTTGGCCTTTGTCTCATTCCTATCCTTTGACAGTGATGAGTTTCTGAAACAAAAGGGACTATTTTCTTTCACAACTCTCAACTACTGGAAACAAAACCATGGCAGGTACAATTTAAGGGTAAAAATTCGGTAGTATTTATTGACAGAATAGAGAGATAATAGTTTTGATTTAGAGGTCAAATGCAGATGGCAAACATTCATGACCTAGTAAGTATACTTAAAACAATGCACTTTTGTCATGTGCAGCTTAAAATTTACTTAGAATGATACTTCTGTATGACAATTTTGATAATGTTAGAAATACAACAATAACTATACTAATTAAAAGAGCATAATACATTTTCTACATGAAAAAAAATCTCTTACTAGTCAGAGCCAATGACAGTGTCCCTACTGAAGCATTCCTAAGAATAATTATCAATTTTTGGCACAGACAGAAGGAAAAAGTAATGAAGCATAGCGACGTAATGCTAGCAAATCATTCACAGTATCTAACTAATGACAAGCTGTACTGGTATTTGTTTTCACGGGAAACTACTTCAAGAAACTTTTTAATATGTACAAAAGAAGGTTGTTTTTAAACAGCGTGCTGTCAAGTAACTCAAACTAAACTTGAAATACCTGAAAGTATGCTTAAAACAATGCTAGAAGCTAGAAGTAGTTGGAACACTTCTTCTGTAGGTTTCTCAATATAGAACTAATAAATGACAGCTTTCCCCCACACCTTACAATAAGGGCTGCCTCTGCCCATCTATGGTACTCATTTGGTTATGACTGAATTCTTCACGGTTTGCCTCATTCCTATCCTTTGACAGTAATGAGTGCACTAGAACAAAAGAAACTATGTTCTTATACAGACCCATAAGTACTGGAAATAGAACCATAACAGGTCCGATTTAAGCTGTAAATACAGAACTATAGAGGTAAAAAATAATGTTGCCTTTTTTATTTACACTGATGTCCACACAATCCAGGCTGTTCATGAAGACCACAGAAAATTAAGGGAGAGCAATTTAGCTGTGTTATACTGAAAGATGAGGCCTGAAGAAGATGTCTCAACACAGAAATGTTGGATATCAAAAGCTTCAAAACCAAGCAGGAACAAAAGATACTGGCTTCATTCAAGTATAAAGAACTTGCTAAAAGAAGTGATGCTGGGTGTCATGACTGTCAGTTTGCTGTTAAGTCCCCAGAGATGGCCTCGCTGCTCTGAACAATGAAATAATTTCTAGTATCAGCAAGTCATCTGGGGACACACTACTCAATTACCCCAGGGTCTGTGCTGATTAACCTAGCCAGTCCATTTACTTTAATTGCTACAAATTTGCAATGTTAAAAAATTCAAAGGCTGTGGCAGAACCCTGTATTAGTTTTCTTAGAAAATACTTCCCCTGTAATACTCAACACTAACTGGTTTTAGCAGATGGAAATTAAATGTCATCAGGTACACCTCCATGAAAAACATGCAAAATTTACACTACTGTTATCCCCAAACTTCTCCAGTTCTGGAGCCCAATAATTCTCTTCCAAAAGTTCTTCTCCACTAAATCTTCTTTCTGCCCTAGACCCCCAAAATTGAAGTGGATATACAAAACTGAGGAGAACATGAATAATCTGCCCAGTAAATATATGGGGTTCAGAAAATGACAGTTTCATTTTTGAATTAGGTAACACTAAAATGAAAAATGATCCTCTGATCACACTATGGGATAAGACCATATCATTTCTAAAGCAATTAAGTGACTTATGGCTGCAAATGGGTTAGGCACCTGGGACAAAATTTTCAAAGATCTTTCAGTATCCAAGGAAGTATCTGTTAGAATTTCAATATGAGTAAGACACCAATCTTTTGAGGCTCCTATTGTGCACCAGTCTTTAAACATCTAAATACCCTTCTACATCCAGACTTCAGCAAAATAAATTCCACTGATTTGATGACAAAATTAATCCAATTCTATTTGTCTGCTTGTAACATATTGTAAAATCTTGATCAGACAGATAAAGAGCTACAAGATGTAAATAAACTATCCTACTTCCCACAACAAAATCTATCTTCATAAAAATATTTTAGGTAGGATTAGGCATTACAGCTAGGCTCCTGAAATTTAGAAATGTTACCTCATGTTCACAAGGTATGAAAAACTGTGAGTGCAAAAGAGAAGCTAGAGATAAATCTTATTCTTTAAGGTAAAGTGTAATTTAACAAGATCAAGTATCAGCATCTCATTTTTCCTCAGAGATAGACAGATAGACAGATAGACAGATAGATAGATAGATAGAGAGATAGACAGATAGATAGACAGATAGATAGATAGATAGATAGATAGATAGATAGATAGATATATATTCCCTTCTCAACCATTACATCCTCTTGTCTTTGCAGTGGTATTCAGTGGTAAGCAAACACCGTGAAAATTCTCATGCACGTAATAGAAGCACAAACCATACTTTAGTACTCACTGCGATTTTATGATTCCGCATCATATTATCAAACTCTTCATTAATTTTTTTATATTTTTCTTCTGTATGTGGCGTGAGCACATATGAAGTGTCAGGGTCCGGGCTGTCGCACCCTCTGTGTTCCTTCTTGTTCAGAGCCTAAATAATGAAGTTAATAAAAAGGATCAACAAATAAAAAGTAGAGATAAAGTAAAAGTACTTACAGGGCCTCGCTTGAAAATAAAATCACTATCTTCATTTAGTTTGCTGAATCTGTCCTCCGATAGTGGACTGTGCTCAAAGTAATCGTCAGCATCAGGGCTCTCACAACCATTAAGGCCTTTCTTTCTTAAGGTCTGAAATACAATTGGAAAATTCACATACAAATCATACTAACTTGCCAAGAAGTTTTGTATACTACTGAATCATTCAGAGCCACTGAAACTACATGAAACTTTCACAGACAAAACTCACTGTTCAACAGACAGGCTTAGTCTTTCAAAATAGTGGCATAGTACACAAACAGAAAAGGTTCATTCAGAGGCACAGACTCTCCCAGGAGCCATCTCATGGGTAACTTTAACCTACACCCACTTCATCTCTCCAGTGTTCCATGCAAAACCGTTTTTAGGTACTGGCTGATGGAGTAAAGTTGCCTGACATACAGGGAACATTCAAGTCTATGGCAAAGAAGTTATGTCATCACTGGTAATTAAAAGCCAGTTTACTGGATCTTTAATAAATTGATTTTAGCATCCCAATTTTAATATTCACATTTTGAAGAGCATACAGTTAAACTCCGAGAAACACAGTTGCTAAAATTTTCAATCGAATTCAACAACTGCAGTACATTAATATACATAACACTTGGTCTCAGTAGTTTATAATGCAGGATTTTCCTGCACTTCTGTCATCCTGCATGATAACAAGAACTGCAAAAAATTATAAACAGAAATTACATAATCCCTCTCTAAAATGACTTAGTTTGCTAAATGTAAGTTTTTTCAGGCTCCTTTAGACTAACTTGATGCAACTGCTTTATTGGGCTACTTCCTGTTTTCTGATGGAGAACTCACATCAACATCCCCTGGAAAAAAACCCAAACTTGTCTACAATCTAGGCATTACAAATAAGCTACTGAAAGAAAGGATGTGAAACTACCAAACCACTTGTGACCAAGTTTTAAGAGATATTTGTATTCCTTGTTGTTTTTCTTTTTCACCCTATTACACAATCAGAAATCTACCTTTGCAAGTTCTCATTTGTAACAAACCAAGATTTAAAATGTTACCTATGGAAAAATCTTTAATGTTTTAGAAAAGTTTCAAAAGGAAAGCAATATAAATTTTTAAACCGGTACACATTAGCAGTACATAAGACAGCAGTAGGATTATACAGGCATGAAGGGAGTTGTGGGGGTTTTGTGAGAGATTATTTATATTCTAAGGCATGAGGGGAGTTGTGGGGTTTTTGTGAGAAATTATTTATATTCTACGAATTTTACACTAAAAATCCTAAAGATTTGAGATCTGCATGTTGACATTCTCAACACCATAAAGGAATTGCATTTGTTCTCCTATAGAAGCTATATGTTTCCATAACACACTGAATTTCTGATTAAAAAACCCCCTTATGTTTTAGTTTAGACTACAGTATTCATCAACATTTTTTCTTAAAGTGCTATCTACTGTTTTTTAGTCCAATAAAAAGCACACAAGACTTTCTCACTATTCATATACATGCAAAATATTGACTGTTTCTACTTCAGTTTTAAAGCAGTACTTGAAAATTCAATTATGCTGTCTGAAATTCTTTAATATCACAGGTCACCATAAGCTGTAATTCCTTCTCAAGTTTCTTGGCTTGCTCCGCATATCCCACACAGTATCTGGAACTCCCACAAAAATGTAATCACTAAATCAGCATATGGGGAAAACAGGTGTAGCTTCCTCCAACACCTGTCACGGCACTGATCCTGCTCCTCTAACCAATCAGCTGGACACGTATATGGACTTGGCCATACAAGGGCCGGCTGTTCGGCCTCTCAAGGTCGGAGCCTGTTATCCCTCTCCCAGCCCTTCCTAACAAGTCAGCCTGCCAGTCTTCTACACTTTGATATCAGTAGGGAAAATGTTAACACTGTATAATCTGGATTACACTTAACCCCTGCAACACACAGAATTCTGTAAATAGAATCCAAATATGTCTTTACATGGTGCTCAGCATCAACATGCATATGCAGTGCCCAAGACATGACTAGAAGCTGTATTTAGATACTATAAAGATCGATCTTGCAAGAAATACACATGCTGTCTAGTTCACCTCCTTTGAGAAAAATATTAGAGCAATTTTAAGTATTGCAGCATGGGAGTTTCATTAGTGCTCCTTTCAATATTCTAAAACAATCAAGTGAAAACTTTTAAGCGTAATGCTGCCAATTCATCCTCCTGGATCTGTCTGAAAATTATATTCAAAGTTCTAATATGAAGGAAAAGATTTAGTTAAATATAAAAATGCATCCTTCCTCTTGGCGACCGGTTATTTTTGATAACAATGGGGTTAACTCTGCTTTGACTCATGAGGAAGGAAAATGCCTCAGTATCTCCTGTTTAAGATTCTGGAAACCTTCACTCTAGATGGGGTTCCTGTCATTGTGGAAGGATTTAAGCCACAGTTCACTGTTACAGATAATACGTCTGGGTCTGATATCCAAAGCTCTGTCTCCTTATCACTAAAACACGAACTGCCACTTTGAGGACCTAACCATAAAAAGACTGCCAACTTTATCATTGCCCAGTAACATAACAGTAAAACATTTCTGCTCCGTGGCTCGTACTAACAAGTGGAATGCTGTAATCTGTTCACGCGGCCAGGCGAAGCCTACACAAGACAGCCCAGCCTCAGCTTTCTCACAGGCTACAGAGTGAAACACGATAACAGGCTCTTGCTCAAGGGAAAACAAGGAAGGCTATGATTACTGGGAATCGCTCTGCGGGGACACAGGAAAGCCAAACTCCATAAACAAGTGCTGACTCCACCCTCGAGATTTTCTATAGCTAAAATTTATTTCTCTGATTAATGTAAACAACTCCCCCTCCCTGAGCTATTTCCAAGGTATTATCATGGAGACTGAAATTTTATTAACTCTGAAGATGGGGGGGCATGGGAGGAAGAAAAAAAATTAGTGAGACCAAATAATATTTGTGCAACACAAAGAGAGTTTTATTTCTCTGCTGTGATACACAAGCGTGTTTAGAATAAAATCGGAATTTTTGCAGTTGAGGCTAGTATAGAACATAAATTTTCTTACTACAACAAGAGGAAAAAAACATTAAATTTCAAGTTTTGCTATTGGATGCTTATTGCAATTACCTTCTGGCGTTGTCTTATTTTCCAGATCATCTAAGGGAGTGTGTAGCCCTTTGAGTTAATCTGTATTACTTTCCACTTCCTCTAAGACCTAGCCAAAATTACTGGAAATTGTTCTAACACGTTTGCCAACGCACTGTATTGTGCCTTCAGTAACTGAGATTGTGCAGCGTTGATATTGGACTGGATCAACTAACTGATGAGAGAAAAGTACTGATTTTTGTCAGAAAACAATGCAAAGTATTTATGAGGAACCAAGGCAGGTATGAAATCTTTTTTTAAAAGAATCAAGCAAACACAACGACATAGTTGTGCAACATGCGAAGTTGCTATAGAAGTGTGGCAGACAGCTGTGGTCATCTTGATATTGCAGAATGACCCCAAAGTTTTAAACTGCTTTTGTTCCACTGTGTAAAATTGAAATACGCAAATATTATAACTATTAGTTGAATATTAATTTATTTTAATTTTTTTTGAATGGCAGAGCTTAGAAAACATCATATGAGAACTGCTGGACTAGCTATGACAGGTTTAAATATTACATTCAAGCACATGGTACAAGAGCCCCAATATTTTCCTGAACTTCCCCACACATATGCAAAGTAATTTTTAATTGCACTGCATTTTTGCTAATTTAAGAAAAGAATCATGCCTTGGCAAGAAGCATCTAAGGAACAGAAGGGCTTCTTGCAAGACAACAAAAAAATAATTAGCTTATCTCCAGAATTCAAAATCAATTTTACTGAAACCGATACATACAGATACCAAAGAGTACAAAAATACAATCAAGTTAATTATTTTATGACCCATGAGGAACAAAGATGATATTCAACCATCACAGTGTAACTATCTTAGCATAAGCTTCCTTCCACAAAATCCAACAGACAAACATGAAATGCAGGAGCTTTAAGCCCGCTGAGTCTCCACAGCGTGATACCAAGTCACCACCTTCTCCAAAGCTTTTCCCAGCCCAGCTGCACGCAGCTTCTCTCACACAAACTTACACTGGCTCAATATACTGGTCATCAGCAGTTCTGGGAACCAGAAACTTTGAACTAATAAACACAGATTACTGCTACCAGAGATAAAGTTAAGTGACAACCCCCAACTGTCCTCCTCCCCATGAAAGATCCTGGTTTTTATATCCGACTCTGAAAGGACATGTTGCTAATGGTTAAAAGAGCACAATCAGCATGTTTTATGCTCCGATTCAGTGAGTGTGGTTAAAAAGCCAAGACTTCTGATACTAGTGATCTGGGCTCCTTACCAGCTCTAGCAAAACTGTAGAGAACTTGATTATGTTCATTGTCACCTCAGGAAATAGTATTTTTCTGCCTTAAAGCAAAAAAGTAGGATGACCTCATATGTAAAGAGCGTTATGAAGTGCAAAAAAGTGTCAGTTCATTCAAAACATTCTCAGTGTTGAGTTTCTTGTAATATTACACAAAAAGGAAATGGTTGTTGCTATCAATGCTACTATGTACCACATTAACAGCTCTATTTTTGCACTTACTATTGGAGCAGGCCAAACAGAATTTTTGTTGGTGTTTCATCCCAAATCATGAGGAAAACATATCCAAAATTTGACTAAGATTGAAATGAAAAGTGATTTCCCTTGGAAAAGGCAAACCTTTCACTTAAAACCTGTGGCTAGTTCTGTTTCTGCTGTTGCAGTCAGAGCACAGAAAAGCTGTGAAGCAGCACAAATTTGGAGTAAATACTTCTTAAAAAATTGTAACTTAAAAAAGCGTAAGTATTCCTCAGGCCTGAAGTTACAGAAAGGCTTTACTAGTGCTGCCAAATATTACTGCTGCTCCAGCAGGCATGTACACCATGGTTATCAAAAGGAAAACCAATTAAACAGTTTCCTGCTCTAGATGCTCTAGAGAGCTGCCATGCCATAGTGGAGAGGGAGAGGACACTGCTGCCACTTGCACCAAATTCCAAAGGCTCCTCACCCACAAATGCAGTCGCCAAGCGCTCACAC